ATTATATAAACTGTAAAATAATAATAATAATTGGATTAATATTATTATTAATAGTTTTAATGATTTCTACATTGTCAGTCCTTTTTTTTCTGCTCTGTTGTCAACATGTACAGTAATGGGAAATCCAGAYACTTGACCGTTTAGCGTTAGCCATTAGCTTCTCCAGCTAACGTGGTCTTTGTGCACTCCAGTTGTTCTATAGGATCTCCTTGGTCTGTAGTGTTTTAGTCTTTAACACGAATCAGAGATCATACTCATCTGAGTCTGCTGTGTTTGCAATGAGTTTTAACATGACTCAAAAGACCTGACTCATCTGTATTTCTAGTGATTCTTTGACTCTAATCAGAGTCCTGGCTCATCTGAGTATTCAGTGTTTCTGGTGGGTCTTTGAGCCGAATCAATGACCCAACTCATCTGATTTTGCAGCTTTTCCTGTGATTCTTTGACTCAAACCAGGGACATGACTCGTCTGAATCTGCAGTGTTTCTGGTGAGTCTTTAAACCAAAACTGCTGCAGCGGGCGATATGCATTCCTTCAAAAAATAAAGTTTGTTTTTTTCTGATCTTATTCACTCTAACAAACCTTTATTTTGATAAGCTGCACAAGTTTGTCACCGACCTTTGACCTGCAGAGAGGGAAAAATAAAACACTTTATGCTGGCTTAAATAGGTAGTTGTAGATGTTCTTCTTTTGGCTGTTCCCTCTTCGGGGGTCTCCACAGCCAGTCATTAATCTCACTCTGTCCTCTGCATCCTCTGTCCTCACTCCGTGTCCTCAACTGTCCTGTGCCGACCTAACCTCCGCCACTTCCTTATCCAACATCACAACTCTACTAAACTGTGACCCAAACCACAAATCAGCTCACAAATCAGATATCTTCCTCTGCAGGGTGACAATGTTTTTTTTTTATTTTTATCTTTTTTTTTTGATGACTTCTCTTTTTTTTTTTGATATGAAGCTGCTTTAACAGTGTCTGACCACAAGAGGGCAGCATTCTCTGCTCCAAAACCAGCTCATCAGTTAAAATAAACCAGTTTGACCACCAACCCCCTTATTTATCGCAAGTGTTTAAAAAGTGTTTATCATAAGCAGGAGTCATTTCCCCCTTAAAAATACGATTGTTTCTTTTATTRTGATTGTTTTCCAGATTCAGATGAGATCAGCTTTGCTGTATTCAAATGCATGCAAACATGGGAGGTGTTCTCTCTGTCTCTGTTTGTTTAGGGAAATCACTGCAGGCTCCGCCCACCTGCCCTCACCTCTGCCTGCCTCCAACGGACATCAACTGACAAAAATCCAGGTGAGGCTTTAAATTTCAACTCTGCTTTATTGTTCTGCTGGGGAGGCTTTTTACAGCCTGGATCTCAGGTCATTATTACTGGAATTAAATCTTTACTGTGAATTATTTTATTTCACAGGAGACATATTTTTAAGTTTGGTCTCCTCTTTTCTGAGATAATTGTTGAAGGAGGAAACTTTCAGTCACAAGGCCGGACAATGAGGAACTGTGTGAGAGTGGCCYAGAGGAACGGCACTTTGTTTTCTCTTTCCTCCTTTTCCTCTCAGACAACATTAATTTGAGATTTTCAATTCTGACCGCAGCTTATTTTTACATCGAAGAGATCATTTTTATCCCGTGTTTGCCCTGAGGAGTTCCTCATTTTTTTCAAAATAAAAGTTGTGTGTTTTTGAGTTGCTCTCTGCAAGTATTTTTGTTCATGTTTTGCATCTGGAGGATTTGGACTTTTTCCGGGAAAACCGACTCCAACTTTGTTCTTCAGCAAAACTGAAACTTTTTTGTTGTTGTTTTCGAGCTCAAAGAGCTGTTTGGAAATTTTATCAAGAAGTTCCTGAAGGAGTTCGGAAAATTTAATCTTTTTTGTGCTTGGTGCGTTTTTTGTTTTATATGCTTTCTTCATGACTCGTCTGTTTTTTAAAAGACAAAATAATATTTTAACGTCCTCATTTTTATATTTACTGTGAGTAAAGACTGAGAGCCGAAGGAGCTGAAAACGAGTTGGTAAAGCTAAATCCTGCAGAAAACGGTATTAAAAAGTAAAGCTCAACTTAAAAGCAAAACTTTAGCCGAAGAGCAGCAAAACAGTAGCTAAAACAGTAGAATAATAGCTAAATGCTTGTAGATGTATGGATGATGGGCTGTAGAAGTTCAATTTTAAAGCAGAAGAATAGTGTCTAAAAACAGCAGAACAGTACCGGGGTAGTTAAAAACAGTAGGACAATAGCTAAATGCTGGTCGCTAAACATTACAAAACAGATGCTAAAGATAAAATTAGAAAAATAAATTATTAAATTAGACATAGTAATTAAAAAATGAACACAAATTACATTTTAAAGCAGAAGAATAGTGGCTAAAAAAAGCTGAAGGAGCAAACAGTATTAAAAATAAAGCACAAGCTAAAAGCAGCAGAATGATAGCAAAACACTAGCCATTAAACTTAGCAAAAGAGATGCTGAAGATAAAATTAGCTAAACAAATGCTAAAATTAGGCAGAATAGTTTAAAACTGACCAGCAATTACATTTTAAAACACCAGATTAGTGGCTAAAAGCAGAACACAAGCTAAAAGCTGCATAACAACTCAGAAAAAGCTAAAAACAGCAGGACAATAGCTGAAAGCTAAAAGGGCAAACAGGATTAAAATGTAGCTCAAGCTAAAAGGAAAACTTTAGCTGAAAAGCAGCAGAACATTAGCTAAAAGCAGTAGGACAGTAACTAAAAGCAAAACAGATGCTGCTTTTAGCTACTGCTCTACATTTAGCTTGTGCTGTACTTTTTAATATTGGTTTGCTCTTCTTATAGCTTCTGTTCTACAGCAGAATAGTGGCTAAAAAGCAGAACAGTAGCTAAAAATTCAATATAGAAGAAGAGAAACATGTAACCTGATTAGAATATGAGCAAAACCTTATTTGAATTTAAAAAATGAGCAGATTTGTTAAAAAAAGGTCAAAGGTATAAAATCTGTAACTTAAATCTAAAATTTGCAGAAAAACACAGAAAAGCTAAAAGTAGCTTAAGAAAATGTGCAGAAGCCGAAACTATAAACAGGAAAAGTCTGAACGCTGAGTCGTCCTTCACACTTTCACCGTGCTGTCAGCGATCTTTGAGTTGATGGGCTGAATAAAAAAACAAACTTTTGTTTCTACAGTTTTCAGTTTGGTCGTGTTCAGATCTTCACACTGACTCAGGAGCGAGCTGATGACTCCTCTGCCTCAGGTCTGCTGGCCTCACTTGCTCTGACCGCTGTCGGGTCATGGAGGAGTGTGTGTTCTCAGAGAAAGGTAGGGCAGGGTGTGTGTGTGTGTGTGTGTGCGTGTGCGTGTGTGTGTGTGTGTGTGACAGAACTTTTCACATGTGATTTACAGATTTTACTTCTTCCTGTTGTTTCATTTTTTTACCTGTAAAACCTGACTTACTGTGAAACTACAACGTGAGTCACATAACTACAAACTACAAACAACAACACTGAAGTTCTGTAGGTTTGGGTCAAATGAAGCAACTAAACCATTCTCAAATTAAAAACATGTTTCAGTACCTTACCTGGTTGAAAATAGTTCAAGTTACCAAATGTTTGGAGATACTGGATTAAAAATAAATTAACTGCATAATGGCAATGTTACCATTTTGCTACTGACGCAATGCATTCTGGGGATGATGATGAAGACAGTTAAGACTAAAACGCAAAGTCAAGGCTAAAATCTATAATGTTTGAAGCTACTGAATTTGTACTGTATGTATGTATATATTATTAACATGTGGAGTCCGAGCTGATATTATTAGTTTGGGAGCTCATGCCATATATTGCCACATATATTAGCTGTAGAGCTAATGTTATTTTCATTAGCTCAGGAGCTAACAYTTTTTATTTGCTCAGGAGGTAATGCTATATTTATTAGCACTGGAGGTATCTCTGTATTAGCTTTGGGGCTAATGCTTTATTTATTATCTCTGGAGCTAACGTTATATTTATTAGCTCAAGAGATAATGCTATATTTTTTTGTAACTCAGTAGCTAACATTATGTTTATTCTCAGTTAACGTTATATTTATTAGCTCGGGAGCTAACGCTATATTTTTGTAGCTCTGGAGCTAACATATTTATTATTTCAGGAGCTAACACTATATTTTTTGTAGCTCTGGAGCTAACACTATATTTATTAGCTCTGAAGCTAACATATTTATTATTTCAGGAGCTAACACTATATTTTTTGTAGCTCTGGAGCTAACACTATGTTTGTTAGCTCTGGCGCTAACATATTTATTATTTCAGGAGCTAATGCTATATTTTTCGTAGCTCTGGAGCTAACACTTTTAATTTTAGAGCTAACATTATATTTAATAACTCGGACTAACACTGTATTTATTAAATCTGGAGCTAACGCTATATTTTCTAGCTTTGGAGCTAACTCAAAAGCTTAAAGGCTAAAGCTGCTAACAGGCAACATTCATGAGACAGTTATATTTTTCTAATATATAAGAATTAAACTGCCTGCAGTATTTGCAGTAGTTTGTTTTTATAGTTGAGGTAAACAGATGAGATTAACATCAAGGTTTGACATGATTCATCAGATTATCTCAGATTAACACGTTGGGGTAAACTTGCGATATGCATTCGAAATATTAGACCTTTTAACTTAAAACTGTTGTAATTTTTTGGGAAACACACATTTGTGCGTGAGTCGTCAGAGCGACCTGCTGAGCTTCCAGCAGCTGACCCCAGATCAGATTGAGGTTAGTGACATTTTACACCTCAGTGCTCGCCGTACGGCACATTAACCCTCGACGGCGCTTTCTAACGCAGATTAAATAAATCTGTGAAGAGGAAAGCTGCTCTGAGTTTCCTTCAACACCAGGAAGAATATAGAATCAGGCGAGAAAACAGTTTTTATTTTTTTTATTCTTTGAAGAAGATCTCAATAAATAACATAATTAGAGCTGAAGGTGAATCACAATGAGAGCAGGATGATGGGAAAACACTTTTCGCGCCAGATTTGCATAATTTGGATATATTCTGTGTAATTTCGCTAAAGTGAGAGGAAAACAAAACAGAAGGGAAGGTTTGAGCGTGCACTTATCATAAAACGAAGTGCGACGCCGTTAACCGCCGCTGTGCTTTTAGCAAATATCCATCTCTGCCTCTGCGTCGTTATCACCCTCCTGATTATGGATGCACAGATAAACAAACACGTGCACGAGGACACGCTCGCTGCACTCAACACACTCAGTGTGTGCGGTTCTGAGTTATGAGCCAACGCCGCTCCACCACGTGCTCCATGTTTTATGAGATGAGCAAGCTTTAATGACTCTGTCACCAGTAAATGGGCTCTGATTTGTAGCACAGCTGTCGCTCCACACTGCAATCACACACACAAAACATACACACATACTGAACACACAAAAACATACACACCTACTGAACACACAAAAACACACACCTACTGAACACCTACACATCCATACAGATGCTGATGCATTTGTTTGTATCTTTTAGTTAAAGAAAAGTGCCTACAAAGATAATTTTAATTACTTCTAACAAACAAAAGTTTTAAAAATGTAAGTAAAAATCAGTGGTGGGCATGAAATGCTAATAGCAGAACTAGCTTGTCATTTAGCGGATTAGCTTTTTTTGCTAACTTTTGAAACCGTTAGTGGACCAATTAGCTTTCACTAAATTAAGTTCCATTCATTTTAATTCCACAAAAACAAAACAAAAAAATTCACAAGCGTAAAACTTCAATTTATATGTCCTTTATCCCAAATTAAATAAAAACTATCCCCTTTTACAAGCAGTATTGGATGTTTGTGTAGCACTTCAAACTAAGAACCTACTGAAAATAAATAAAATAATATTTAACGATATCTAAATAACAAATTTAAAGTTTGACTATTTATAAAATATGTTAGAGAAAGTGGTTTGACTAACTTTAAACGGTATTTACAAAAATAAAAACTCAATCTAGAAATGCTTTTATTCTGAAACTAGAAGTATCACTAGTTAGACAGAGCTATAACTGGTTCGGATTTGCTGATTTGCTTCAGATGACCCTCCCCACCTTTAAATTAGACCAATAGAAAACTAATAACAGGTTTGTGTCAGTCCCACCAGTCTTAGCGGTTAGCGTTAGCTTCCACAAATTTTCTATCTGTTTAGCGGTTAAGTGGATTTTGTCAGCTGTTCCCACCACTGCTAAAAATCAACTAAGTTTTTTTCATTAAAATTGTTTTTGAAAAACGATGGCCTCAAAGCTGGTCTGGACACAAGGATGGTACCCCGTTATGTGTCCTGTAATCTGTCTTCAGTATGTTTAAAGTGGGACAGGTAGTCACAGGGCTGTTTGGTATCGTGGTGTGTAACACACTGGGCATGTGCAACAGAAAACTGAGGACAGAGCTTCGAAGCTTGGCATCCCGTGACAGCTGCTCAGATTATTCAGAAGGTCCAGTAAGGCACAAGATATCTGCGTACGTGAATCTTCTCTTATCAACAAAAGCAGGCTGGTCATTCGTGTAGAGGTTAAAACATAGGCTAACTAGTACAGATCCTTGAGGAGTTCCATTCCTTTGGAGTCTACATCTAGAGAAGGAGCCCTTCAAACCTGAACAAGTTACGATCTCTTCCTTTTTACCTATTTTATTTATTTGTGATTTTTTGTTATTTTACTTTCGGGTTCTTTCAATGACCTTTGTAGGTAAAAACAAATCTGTCWGTATCTGTATGAATTTAATCTCATGATAGATTTTGTCTCAAACATTCTGACATGTTGCTGCAGAGAAAAGCTGCTCCTCTGATTCAGGCAGCGGCTCCATCACAGCTCATATTTAATCGATGCACCTTTTCCTCAGAGGATCCATCGATCCGCGTCCTGCTGTAAATTTTCTGTCTCTGACGTTAAAGTTTTAGATGCAAAGCAGTTTTATTATTTATATTATTATTAATATTATTATTACTCATTAACACTTTGAGCGGTTTCCAAACATTCACAATGTTTGGTTTCACAACTCAACCTGCTGTTTGACTGGAAGGTATATAAAAAATAAGAACACGGCTGTGAGGGACTGAGAGGTGGTTTAGTTCAGTTTATTTAGTAAATATGAACAAAATCCAAGAAATATCATTTTAACATTGATTTTACATTTTAAAAAGAAAACATTTACCTTCATGTTTGAGACAAGAGAGAACTGTCTGCAGCAGGACAGGAACAGGACGAATGAGGACAGTAGGACATGTTAGACTGGAACTTACAGGACATGTATGAGGACAGTAGGACATGTTAGACTGGTACAGGACATGTATGAGGACAGTAGGACATGTTAGACTGGTACAGGACATGTATGAGGACAGTAGGACATGTTAGACTAGTCCAGGACATGTAGGAGGATATGTTTGTCCAACCACTGTTTTTGCCCAACATTTATGCAGTAAAATAAATTTGTTCAGTTTTCTAATAAATCTGTTTAATTATGTTTTTATTTGCTGAACATTTAAACATTAAACTCATAAAACACTTGTTTTATCACAGTTAAGTCTTTTAAACATCCTGATTCTGACCAGTTGTTATAATTTGATGTTATTACAGGTAACAACCAGCAGGTGTCGCTGTGGCAAAGAGTTTCACCTGCTCTGACCGGTTTAGACTCTATTTTATGGTCTTCTGCTTCTTTTTTTCTCTTTTTTTATTAAACTTTCCAGCAGTTGATCTTCTTCACTTGGTTACATCAACTTACAGACGCGCACACGTTTGTTGTTGCTGTTGTTGTTGTTGACACGTCCGTCTGTCTTGTTTACACACTCGGCGCTGGCTGACAGTGAAGCAGGTGTGCCCTTTAGATTTCAGAGAAATGTCAGGCGATGATGTGCGTGAGGAGTGTGTTTGTGTTATCAAGTTTTGAAATGATTTCTGGATTGGTAGTCTCTTCCCCCCAGCTCCCCTC